AGAGTCGTCTCTTGGGTTGTTGGAAAAGAGTGTTTGCTATGATCAGCATATTCTCTTGACAAAATTCTACCAGCCTGTGCCCTGCTTCATTTTGTACTCCAAGGCCAAACTTGCCTGTTATTCCAGTTATCTTTTGGCTTCCTACTTTAGCATTCCAATCCCCCATGATGATAAGGACATCATTTTTGGGTGTTATTTCTAGAAGGTGTTGTAGGCCTTCATAGAACCGGTCAACTTCAGCCTCTTCAGCACCAGTGGTTGGGGCATAGACTTGGACTACTGTGATGTTGAATGGTTTGCCTTGGATTCGAACTGAGATCATTCTGTCATTTTGGAAATTGTATCCCAGTACTGCTTTTCCTACTCTTTTATTGACTATGAAGACTACTCCATTTTTTCTCAGGGATTCTTGCCCACAGTAGTATACCTGATGGTCATCTGAATTAAATTCACCCATTCCTGCCCATTTTAGTTCACTGATTCCTAAGATGTCGATGTTCAGTCTTGTCATCTCTTGTTGACAAGAGCTTGCCTTGATTCATGGATCTTACATTCCAGGTTCCTATGGAGTATAGATCTTTGCAGCATCGGACTTTCCTTTCTCCACCAGATATGCCTGCAACTGAGTGTCCTTTCGGCTTTGACCCAGTCACTTCATTCTTTCTGGTGCTACTGGTACTAGCCCTCTGCTCTTCCCCAGTAGCTTATTGGACACCTTCCGATCTGAGGGGCTCATCTTCCGGCATCATATCTTTTTGCCTTTTGGTCCTGTCCATGGGGTTTTCATGGCAAGGGTACTGGAGTGGGTTGCCATTTCCTTCTCCAGTGGATCATGTTTTGTCAGAGCTCTCAGCTATGGCCTGTCCGTCTTGGGTGGCCCTGCACAGCACAGCTCATAGCTTCATTGAGCTATGCAAGCCCCTTCGCCACGACAAGGCAGTGATCCGTGAAGGAGAGACTGAAGTACCGTGTCGCATATGTACCTGTTTAGGGCTACCCTTTTCTGGTGGCAAGTAGTCACTGGGGCCTTTAAAGGTGATGTATTACACTGAGGGCTACCGTCTAGTTGAACCACACTAAAAGTCTTCGCAGCTAAGATTGTATCACAGCTCCTTTGTGGATCAGCCATTTGGTGTGGGTCTTGTAGAGATGAATATGATATAATTCAAAATCTGTAAACCATTCTGAGGCTTGTTGCAAAGGACGGCATAGATATGTTTTAATTAAATTGAAAAATCAAATTAAAATCAAAAGAAGTTCTTGCATTTGCTCCTGGGAGAAGCACCCAGTACCCTTGTGTTCTGCCATGGAGTGAACTGTTTTTCTTCTTTAAAAGCACTGGTGCATAAATTGGTAACTGTGCTGGAAAAATCCATTGTTGACACCAGATTGCTATTCAGAAAAACAGAGTTTCAGGACCTGCAGGGCAGGAAAGTCTGGCTGTAAGCATGGAGAGGTTTCATGCTGAGTTACTTGCTGTCTCCAGCAATGAAAGTGCAAGATGGTATCCTCAGAAGACTGGGGGTATAATTTTTGCTGAAGATGCTAAAAAGAGTACGAATATCTAAAGAACCCCAAATCTACTATCTGGTATGCTAAAATTAGATCATGAAGGGGCTACTTGTTTGTGGGAACTGGCATTCCTGCTCTGACGTGTGCTTTCACTGAACTCAGAGGCCAACTGATCCCAAAGAGCATTTGGCTGGCAGATTGCTTGAGATGCCAGCAGAAGACCTCCCGTGTGGTTGTGTGGCCAAACTGAGGGCACACTGCATGGTATTGCATAATGTCCATTTGATATCAGATTTAGCTCCCCCTTTCAGGCTGTGTTGGAAGGCCTGTCTGATTAATCAGCTGACTGCAGGGAGACATATCTAAAAATACCATGGTTGCCATACTAGCTAGTGGGAAACACTAAGAAAATGTCAGCAGTGATTTTGAAAGACTAGAAAATGTCAAGAACAGATAGAATGTTGAAAGAATAATATTCACGCTCACTTCCTGTGGATGGTTCAGTTGACATTTATTAAGCTGGAAAGTTACTTAAATATCAGAAGAAGACCATGGTCTAAATCCCCAAATGTTTTTTTCTTTCGATGTGGTGGTTTAAAGTTCTAGCACCTTGGAGAGCTCTTCTATTTCTTGGCTAGGGCTCAGCAAAGAACAAGATGAAGCCGAAAGAGTGGGTTACAGGCAACATTATTCAAATTTCCAAGTATTGTGATCTTTGTGGCATTTTGGCCGCTTGTTGCTGAAATGTGCAGACTTCATTCCAAAGTCAGGGTCAGTGTCTGAGCTTGTTGGATGGCGTGTGCTCATGTGGCAGAAGGAAAAGACTCCAGAGGAATGTGGACTCAGTTTTGGTGTCAATCATTCTTATTACATATTGTGAAACCTGTTACACTTTGATGGACAGTTTAACAAAAAATGTAAAATACAACATCCAGTTAAACCACCTTGAACTGTAACAAACAGCAAACAAACAATGGCTCTTTAAAGGTAACAATTAAGAACTATTTAGATTAGTAGTATAATATGCGCACCACTTCCTAGCCGCTGCTGCAAATATTGCTACCACTTAGCTAATAGTTGCACCAGTATATCTTGCAGAGTTTTCTCTGGGCAGCACAAGTAAACACTGGCTGGAGTTTTCACCTTGGCCTACTTGCAGGGCAGAACCATAAGTAATGTACTAGAAGTTCAGCACCAATGCAGCCCAAACTACATTTCCATTATTTCAAAAGATAAGCATCTCTCCTCTAGATAAGCAGAAGGTATCACCAGAAACCTGAGTTCTGCAAAGGTCCTTTTGACTGGGAGAAAAATCAGCATCTGAAGATGCTGTGCCCTGGAAAGGTGGTTCTTAATTCAAGGATACTGCACTGTAAAATGTATTTCCTGCATAGGTATCCTCTCTTCACTGACATCTTATACTGTTTCTCAAGGCATAGTGACCGATACTCATGTATCCTTCTGTGGATAAGTCATCGTTCCCCAACTTGTCCTGACATTTCTTTGACCAGCTGCCACGCCTTTGTGAGTCTAACCAATGAAATTCAGAGGTACTTTCACACTTAAAAACAGAGAAACAGAGCAAGTCAGAAGGGGTCTCCCGGGCCATCTAGTCTGACCCCTGGCTTCAGCCGGCTCCGCTCATGACATGCCCACCATGTGCACGTCCAGCCTATCCTTGAACACCCGCACTGATGGGGCCTCACCCACCTCCCGTGGAAGCACTTTTACCCTGCCTTTCCTCCTATTGTAAGGAACCCAAGATAGCTAACAAATTCTCCTCCTCACAACAACAACCCTGTGAAGTAGGCCAGACCGAGAGCGTATGACTGACCCAAAGCCACCCAGTGAGTTCCATGGCTGAGTGAGGATTAGAGCACTGCTCTCTCACAGCTATGCCACATCATGGGTGTTTTATTTGACTGAAGTGAATCCAGGGGTCAGTGAGAGCTCTGCCCCAAAACATCACTGGGTTTGCTTTGACACTGCCACCTATTTCAAAATCCTGGCTGCATGTACTGAAACCTGAGTGTAGGCACGGCTCTGATTGTCCACTCTGCTTTTGGACTGTAAATGATTGCTCTGCTCTGTGATGACAGGAGTCGGATGCAGAAGAAAAGAGGGCTTCTGCCCCTAATGGCACTGAACAGTTGTGTCCAAGAGCAGGGAAGTTTGTCATGTAAACTACACCTCCTATTATGCCCTTTTCTGGACAACTATTAAGAGTGCAGGAGCTTTCTCTTCGATTGCATCTGGCCATCTGAAGAGTGTGGGATGGAGGCCAGTTTGCAGCCCAGTAACCATTTTGCATGGGACAGCGAATGGCCACATGCATGCACGACTGGCTGCTCTCCAACTATACAAGTTTTTCAAAATAAGATCAGGCCACCTAGCAGCTTCAGGCTCGGTGGACCAGCATGGGTGTGCGGAGGTGCTTTGCTTCATCTCAAGGGCCAGCTCAAGCTGCACCGCTGCCGAAATTCTTTGTTATGTCCACAGCTATCCTTTCCTCATAGCTGCCGCTCATCACAGCCTGTATCTTCATCACAGCCTTGTGAGGTGGGTTAGACAGAAAGTTAGTGACTTACCCAAAGTCACCCAGGGTTCAAGCCTAGGCATGATTAGAAATTTTTCCTACAATTCCCAACATTCCCCAAGACAGGCTGACTGGGGAATGCTGGGACCTGCAAGACTTTTCTGTCCAAATACACATAAGAGCTTAGAGCTCCAGTGAGCTTCCTGGTCAAGGGAGGTCGTCTTAGCCCATGTAAATGGAAACCGTACTGTTTCATTTTATTATGTTGCTTAAATATCATTACTTCCATGTGCTCAGTTGGTCAATATGAAAGCAGCATCTGTAGTTGTTCAGCAGTCCCTGCAATAGCTATAGATACTTTATTATTACTGCATTATCATCATCATTGAAAGCTGTGTTGGGTTTAAGATATTTTAGCGTATACGGAAGTGTTTCTTAAGTGTTTTTCATGCTTTTTATATACATGATCCAACTTGCACACAAATTAAAGACCACTTCAGGAACGGAACCGCTCTTAACTGGGGGAGTAGGTGCATTGCATGTGGGCTATTGGAACTGTGGGCTATTGCACAGTCTGAACCCAGCCACCAAGCCATGGGTTGCGCGCGGCTGACAAGCCACGGCCTGCTAGCCCAGCGGGATCCAGCCCGCACGCCGCCCCGCACCCGGCGGGAGCGCCTCCACTCCCCGCCGCCAGAGGGCCGCCGAGGCGCGGGCACGTGACACGAGCCGCCCTCCCATCTCCCGCGCGGCGCGGAGAGCCGCCGCTCTCTCCTCGCGTCTCGTCTCGTCACGTCCCGCCCCTCCGGGAAGGGACGCCCTATGCCCAAGCAGCGGGGGCGTGGCGCCCGGTCACGTGCTCCGCAGCGGCCCCGCCCCCTCCTCAGCGCTGGCGGCAGAGCGGACCGGAGGCAGCCCGAGGCAGGAGCGGGCGGGCGCTGCGGCGTCGCCTATGGGGAAGGCGGCCGCGCAGCTGTGCAGCGCCGGCTCCCGCGGGCTGGTCTCCCTGCTCGGCGCCGTCCCCTGCCTGGCCTGCAAGCAGCCGCCGCCGCCGCCGGCGCGGCCGGTGCTGGTCGCCATGAGCCTGACGGTGGCCGCCGCCGCGGTCGAGGGCTCCGCCGCCGTCGCCGTCGCCTCCTCCCTCGGGCCCGGCTCCGACACCTACAAGGGTTGGCTGTTCAAGTGGACCAACTACTTGAAGGGGTACCAGCGCCGCTGGTTCGTGCTGAGCAACGGGCTGCTCAGCTACTACAGGTACCGTGGTAGCCAGGGGCGCCCCCCCCCCCCCCGCGGCGTTGCTTGCTTGCCTGCTGGGCTGGGGAATGGCATAAAAATAAAGGAAGCGGTTCTTGCAGGCGCCTTGCGAGCGGCTGCACGGTGCGGCCAGAGCTGACGTGCTGGGCGGCTGCCGCGGAGACGAAGGTCGCGGAGTTCATCTGGTGCCTTCCTGGTGGTTACATGGGGCTATTGGCCGCGCTGGCTGGGAACACTGGGCCTTGCAGTCCAGGAGGGCGCCAGGTTGGGGAATAGCTGGGGTACTTAGGCAGACAGGAGGGATTCGGTGTATGCTCGACTATTAGAAGCACTGTGGGAATGAGGGCATCCGAAGGGTGGGTGGTGGTCGCTGGGGAGGTGAGGTCAGAGAGACGAGGGACTAGCGGAGTGCGGGGGCTCAGCTGCCTGCAAAGATTGGCTGGAAAACAGGATCGCCTGCACAAAATCTACTTGCAGCAACCAGGTCTACCTGTCTGTGCTTCTTCCCCTCCCTGTAACTCTTTGTTAGGGAATTGTTGTAATCAGGTCAGTGCTACTATGGAGTTGTAAGAGTGGAGGAAAGGGTGTTGCGCAGTGACAGTGAGCCACGTGGTGATGGATCCTCCTTTGGCTACTCTGAGTGCAGCTTGGATGGCTGCACAGCTAGGCAGCAGAGTGCTTTAAAGTTTCATGGGGGGGATTCTGCTATCTTTCAAAGTGCTGCAGAGCAGCCAACAAAGAAGTGACAAGTCCCTGTTGCAAGAGGGTTGTAATTTGTGCTTCAGCTGGGGATGGTAGGGTAGCAAAACAAAGAAGGAGAGAAGAATGAATGAGGCAATCCTTGCAAATATGTTTGGACTCAATTCCAGACTTCATTTGTGGGTGTGTTTGTAGCAAAACCAGGCTAACAAGGTTTTGGGGTGAAAGACTACATAGTCAAAAGCACCTGGAGCAAAAATGGTTTGGAAGCCATCAGCCGGAGGCTGTGATCAGTCATTCTTTCCCCTGTCTGTATAGAGCGTGAGGGTGCTTCCAGATGGAGAAGCCCAGATCTATAAATCAAAGGGCATTGTGACCCCTTCTGTCTTAATGCTTTTTGTAATTAAAAAATCAATGACACATTGAACGAACTGGAGAGTTAGAAATGGTTCCTTTCACCCCCAAATACAGTTCTGTGTTCAGGGACACTTAGTTGCATGATAAAAGCCAGTTCCAGAAGCACCCCACTTGTATGCATGCTGAGAGCAGGATTGTACATGGTCAGAGGTAATACTGTGTCTGTTTCCTTCTTAAAGGGAGAACAGTGCTTTTACTCATACTAGTAATGCTACTTGCTATACCTAATCGGGGATTCTTGTACTATAAGAAGGCTCTGGCAAGGGGATTGATGCTTGACAGGTGGTGTGGGAGTTCTGCACTGCAACCTTTCAAGTTGCTGGAAGATCCCTCATGCAATAAAAGCAATGCCAGGAAAGGCTCTTTTACTGCTTCAGACCTAGTTTAACTGTTACATCTACTTTTCTGGGGTCAGGTTAGCTCCATGTGAGTTGAGCCAGAAATGTTGCAAGGCTTGAGAGGGCCTGGGGTAAGGTATTTCCTCTGAGCAGGCTGTCCTTGTCAGTGAACCCGAGTGTGCCTTCATTTCACCTGGGTGGCAGCCACGCCTTCTCTTGCCATGCTAGAGGGAAGCTGCACCATTTCAAATCGCACTGTGCTGTCCCGCTCGTTACAGAGAGTCGAGGTGAGAGAGTTGGACTGGGGACCTGGGAGGTCCAGGTTCTGGTCTCCACTCAGCCCTGAAGCTGCCTGGGTGACTTGGGCCAGTCACTTGTGCTGAGCCTAACCTCCTTCACAGGGTCGTGGTGCCTAGGACAAAATGGAGCATGCTGCCCTGGGTTCCTCACAAGAGGAAAAAAAGTGGGATATAAATGCAATGTAATAGAAAATGCCTTTGATTAACCGCTCCCTGAACCAATCAGAAACTGCTGTTCATGGGGGGTACAAACAAGCAGGTAGCGCTGGGGGTGTGTGTGAGAGGACAGCTCCCTTGAGAGGGAACCCTGGATTGGCTCGTATGTTCCTGATCTGAATGGGCAGAGAGAATGTGACAGTGTGGTGGAGTTGCTGCCCTGGGTGGCTGCTGTGGCTCTTTCCTATGCCCTAGCTGGCTGCTGTGGCCCAAATGCCCAGCCCAAGGGGAGGAGTTGCGGTTGCCTCAGCTGCTTCTCTAAGGATTTGAGGGGGCCCTCCTTCGCCCTGGGGTCCCAGGCCTGCATGTTGGGGTCCAGCCCGAGTGGCACCTCCCAGTCCAGCGTTCTGGGCATTTGGGCAGATGAAGGCACACGAATGACCTCAGTTGCTCAGCCCCCCCCACCGCCTTCTTGGAAAGATTACTGGATTTCGTGTGGTGTCTCCTCTTCCTCACTCCCCATTACAAACAGTCCTTGTGCGTGTGGCACATGTGCCCACACACACACACTCTCTCTTCCTTTGATCTGGACTGATTGCAAGCTCATCTGCTTTCATGCGCTGTCGATTGAATGAAATTAAGGCAATTAAATCAGAAAAGACCAGTTTAAATCAGTCTTCATATTGGAAGATTTATATGTTTTCTCCATAAGTATGTCTATCAACTGGCCTCTATAACATGCTGGTTGCAACTAAATAAAGCCTTTATAAATCCTAAAGATCTATTCCAAACCTTTGGTTAGGTAGTCTACATGCAGAGTACCTGCCTAGAACAGGCAGAATTCTGTTAGTCTCTCCCTTTCCAAGACTGGGAGAAAGTCGCATCAAAACACCTGAACTTATTTTTGAGTAGGCCTGTACATGATTGCACTGTAAGATTGCTCATGACGACTTGCTTCCAAAGAAGTGTGGATGGCATTGTAGTCTTAGCCTTCAAGTAAGGTTGTGGCTAAGTATGCACATGGTTGATGTAACAAAAGCCGAAGTGTTATTCCATGAGATAGAATGGAAAAGACTGCTCCTTGGCAGTCATAATTCTTCACAATTTGAGAATGAACCATAGCAGAGCTCAGGTGACAGGCATTGTACGGGCTTGGTGGATCACCGTGATAAAACACGAAAGGACCCTGTTTTGACTGCTGCCTCTATAATCCAAGGTTTGCGTCTTGTAGGAAGTCCGAATAAGAGAAGTAACTGATTACCTTTTGTTAAATCCTGTATCTTCCCCATGATTTCCCCCTTTTTACGTAGCGAATTTAGGCATGATTCACTCCTAAGAGGTTCAGCATAGGCTGTTTAATAATTTATATTTTGTTCAGATAACCTAGTTTCAAAAGAAAATCTTAAAATGTACGCTTACGGTCACTGAATGATATTTAACAACTAACACACCTTCACAATAGCGGACATGGGCATCACCTGTCCTTACGGCTGCCTCGTGTCAACTTGAACAGTGGTTTAACTAAAAGTCTGCACAAGGCCAGGAAAGGGATTCAGGCTAAGATTGCAGTCGAAGAGCTAACTACTTAAATCTACCCTGTGATCTTTACTGTTTTTCACGTAGGAGCCACTTTGGCTCTAGGCACCATCACAGGTACCATTCTGGGATGTGCAACGGTTGCCTTCTTCACACAAGCCCCCCAACCCTTTTTGGGCGGTGACCACATGCCCCGAGGCTTGGTTGAAGGCCTTTGTGGGCTTCAGCTTCCCATCCCCTCCAGGTTGTCCAAGCAACACCTCACCGGCCACCAGGTGCATTCTAGCCGGCTCACTTGATTCCTGGATTGGGATAGGCTCTTTTCAGTGGGAAAAGAGTGCTCTGCTCAGTCCTGCAACATCTCAGTGATTTCAGCATCGTTCAGTAGAGCAAACAACCCACCGGCACGCTCTTCTACAATAACCACCTGGACTGGTGTGTCACCTTCAGTTTTTATCTGAACCAGCCAACTATATAACATACTGAAGCATCTTTTTTGCGCAAGAGATGCCATAGGACATTTGGATCCCTGTCTCTGCACAGGCACTGTTTTCAGTTTAGTTACTCTTCCTGCATAATTATGTGTTGGAGAGAGACTGTCAAGACCTCTTTCAGACACAACTGCTCCAAAGTGGGTGTTTGATCTAAAACTCTTTGGTTTCTCTGGTAAAACACGCATCATCCAGTGTAATTCATTTTCAGAGTAGTTTTTGAGCGACTCAGTCACTCATTCGCAAACATTCTCAAATATTATAAATAAATAAATAGTGGCCTGTTTCTATGAACTAACATTGTTCTCATAAGGGGCAACACGTATCTGTGCATCCTTTTATAATCTTAGAGCTGAAAGGAATAAATGTTCAGCATTGCTTTCTCAATAACCTTTGTGCTGTGCTTGGTTTCTTCCAGACTGATGGATAGTTTTTGTTCTTGTTTTTTAAATTCAGGTTGGCAATTGCGCTCTTAACTATATTTCAGGTGCTATGGGACAAAACCTTCCATTTATGACCTTCGGACTTACTCTGTGCATTTGGTCTTTAAGGGTCATGAGTTAGGCTCACATAACTGGTACTTTCCTCAGATATCTGGATAAATAGTGCATAAGTAGCAAGTATGAAAACAACTTGAAAATATTATACACAATCCTATTAAAATGGTTCTTTGTGTGGCCAGTGCTTGGTCTTGTTCCGTAGTATTTTCTGTGGTTCACCTCAAGCTGGATTTTGAGGTTCACGTGCTCTGATTCTCTTTCCACAGGTGCGGCAGGTCTTTGTTGCGGAGCAATTTCTTACAGACTTGACTCTTCAAAGGCAGCATGTCCTTTTCCAACAGTGTCTGTCATATCCTAAACTAGGTTGAGATGGGAATCCATAAGGAGGGTGCTCTGGTGCATGGATGGCTGTTGGGGAGCTGGCGCTCACCTGCTGGCAGGTAGCAATAGTAACGTGACCATGGAAATAGTACACTGGAATGAAAACATGCCGGTACTGAAAACATCACTCCTAAGATGTGTGCATAAGCAGCAGAAAGCTTTGAATGAAGAGGCCTAGGAGGA